CCCCCCCAATTTTGAAAAGATTATTCAGTGCTTTTGCTGGTGTACAGGGTGTGGGACACCGTACCAAGGAGAAAGAGGATGTTTAGATTTTGAAACCACAGGACAAATCACGTGGGCAGATCTGGGAGTAGTCACGGGTGGAAAAGTGAATTTAATGCAATTAGCTTGGCAAATTCCATTTCTGGGCCTTTCTACAGCGCCGAAGTATAACAGTTCTGATAGTGACCTGTTCAGTTAGAAAAAGCCAATGGAGGAAGTGAGACAATGCCAGAGCTGTAATGTGTATGTACAGGTCACTCTGAAAATCTTTCAAAGGGTAAGCACTTTGCTACTCTTGAAAATGGTGAAGAGTTGGGTTGTGCTGTTTCCCAAAACACCATTCAGTTTCCAGATGTGACCCACACAGGTGAATCTTGCACTTGTGGCTGTGATCCACCTGCAGTGACAGCAGGCTCATTTCTGCCCTGAAACACCCCAAATGTGTTCACTGCTTTGCATCATCACAGTGACTTGTGTTTCAGATTTTCTGAAGATTTAGGAGACACATTGGATGTGACAGAGAAAGTCACTAAATCTGATCTACATCGAGTCTGCGTTAAATTGTTCTGCTTCTAAGTCGCTGGAGCTTTGCGTGCAGTAGCTGGTCATAAAAGTCTGTAGCTATTTCCTGGTCTTGTGGAGCTGAAGCTGTGGATTACTTCCTTGATCTCAAATAGGAAACCTTTTTTTTTTTGGCAACTGTTCCTGTAAGAATGCAGAGCAGCAAACAAACATGATTGCCATACTCCTGGTCAACATTTTCATTAGGATTACATTTCCACAAAACCACACCAAGCTTGCAACTAACAGAAGACAATTAAATTTTTTTTACAGATTATATAAAAATGGTTAAAGTTTTTTCACTTCCCAAAGCTGCACAACTTCTATAGCTTGGGGCACTGAGAACAGTTAGGCTCCTGCTGTGATTACAGAATTCTTGCCAAGTTGATACCACTTGTCAGAAGTAGTTACCATAGCTGCTTGGCATCTGCTCACTGTTTCACTGGAACTTGGTGCATCAAATACTAGGCTGAAGTAAAGAGTTCTAACTCACATACATTCTCACATACTTTGAAAGAGGCTTTGAAAAATACTGATAATTACTCCCATTTTGGAAAGAGTGTTTGTGGGATTGGTTTCTAAATGCAAGGACTCAGCAGTGCTCTTGCTCACAATGCTACCTCTGCATATGCCTGCAAGGCCCAGCTTTTATAAACAATCTTAAGTGCTACGTATGCAATTGTCCAAGGAATCAAAGGCTGCAACACTGCTGTGATTGACTCCAAAATAGTATAAAAAAAGGAGGACAATTTTTTTATAATGAAACTTCTCCTTAGCTATTCATAATGAAAATGATGGCAATATTTAAATATTAACAGTTCTTTTAACGCTGCTGGTAGTGGCAGCGCCTGGGCTTGGTGTGCTGGGGCACCAGGGCATCCTGCCTACAGAAGCATCAAGGGGGTAGCTGAGAGGGACAGAGTTGGACTTGTGAAGCTGGGGGGTTTGAGCATGGCTCAGCCCTCATCCTCCTCACTTTCTCAGTGTTCTCTGTTAGCTCAGAGCAGCGCTCCAGCCAGGCACCGTGTGCATCACGCTTGGCTCCAACGCTCCCCCAGCTGCTCGGAGGAGCTGAGTGGAGAGGAGCCAGCCCCAGCTGGTGAGGTGTGGGCTTGTCCCACCCACACAGGCATCTTTCCCTGTCCTGCAGCCCATGATTCTCATAAACATCAGCCCGCGGGTCACAGCTCCCTGCCTGCTTCCCTGCAGTCGCTCAGCCTGTGTGGCTTCAGAACGGAACATGGGGCTGGCTCTACCTGGTGTCTCCCATAACCCCCAAGGTTCCTGAGTAACTTGTCAGCAGAGGTTTATCTTGTCTTTTTCAGTTAGTTTTTTTATTATTCTTCAGGATTGTGTGAATATTGCAGGGAGAAATCCAAAAGCATGTTTCATCAGAGTAGCACAGCTATCAGACTGGATAGACTGGCTCTGAGGAAGGATTTCTTTGCAGAAGGGGTTGTTGGGCGTTGGAATGGGCTGCCCAGGGCAGGTGGGAGTCCCCATCCCTGGAGAGGTTGAAGAAGTTGGGTTGACCCAATGCTGAGGGATCTGGTGGAGTTGGGAATGGTCAGTGTGAGGTTCATGGTTGGATGGAATGATCTTCAAGGTCTTTTCCAACCTTGATGATTGTGATCTTCATCTGATGAATGGTGCTAACACGTCCCTGTGAAATGCCACTGTACTAACACTTCTGCACTTAGACAAACGCCATGAATAAGACTGTACCTAGGGAGCCAACTGTCAGGATCATTCCAAATGAGTTTGATTTTAATCTGAAGTACCCAAAGCCTTAATGGTATATGAAAATCCTTTGGTTGAACTTGATGCCCCACACTTGGGTCCCTTTGGCAATAATGATGCCAGTACCAGCACCTTCGGGCTCATCTCTGCTCCTGCCACAGCAACGGCTGCGCTGTTCTGGCAGTCTGACCCCATCCAGGCCCTTGTGAAGCACACCCCAGCCTGGGAGCCTTATGCAAGTAATTGCCAGAATGCAAACACTTCGGCACGCTGCCAGAATGCCTGCACTCGTCAGGAAAGATGATCCCTAAGGCAGCTAAAAAGGCTGACTTGTCCTTGGGATTTATTTGGTACTGTTGCAGTGTGGATCGCTGCGCTCTAGCACTCAGCCCGTGGGTAGCTGTTTATGTACAAGATCAAAGGCTGTCAGATATGCCGACAGCAGGTTTGTACTGCCCAGGTAACTTGGCTTATACCTTGTTACCAGTCCTCCAGCTTCTCATTGGTCTTGTTTGATCGTGAACACAACATACACAGGATTCAGTTGCATTTTACTTCACCCACCCAGTGGCAGATAATCACAGAATACCAGGCTGAAAGGGACTGCAAGGATCGTCTGGTCCAACCTTTCTTGGCAAAAGCACAGCCAAAATGCTGTGGGCAAAACTGCAAGAGCTCTCACTGCCTTCACTGACTGCAGTGACAATGTACTTCACATTGTTCGGTCTCTCATTTCCCTTCCTTTTAGAATACGCAGAAATAAACTCCATGCTGGACCAGATAAGCTCCTGCCTGGATCACCTGGAGGAGAAGAATGATTATTTACATGCCTGCTTGAAAGAACTGCTGGAGTCCAACCGCCAGACCCGCCTGGAGTTCCAGCAGCAGAGTGAGCAGCAGAACACACAAGCTGATGTGCAGGGATCACAGCCTCCTGGCTAGCGTGCTGGCTGCAAGCTCTGTTAGTGTTGCTAAGAGGACATTTACTGGTCACTGATTTCATGTAAAACTTGAATAGACGAGGTACCTCGTGCCTGCTACTTGTTCCTTCCTGTAGTTGTGTCCTGCCGTTCACCTCCATGTTCTGTTTTTATTTAGCTGTGTGATAGGTGCAGAAGCACACAGGTGGATGTAGGAGAGCTTGTTCTTTTTTGCGCCCCAACACAAGCCTGGCACTGACACTTGGTTAAAGCTGGCTGTAGGAAACCTGATGCCATGCAGGTTGTTTGCGAGTAGGCCCTCTTCGCAAAGAGGAAAAATGATCTCTGCTCTTTTGCACTGTTAAATCCAAGCAAGGAGTGTTATGGCTGTAGCCTCTTCCCTCAAAAAGCACGTAGGCAGAGGCTGTCCTGGCTCCAGGCTTGCCCCTAAGAGTAATGCCAATGACAGACTTGCAGAGGGAAGCTCTAGGCCAGCTCCTGTCTTGAAACTACAGCTTCCCATTACTCACGTTAACTGTGACGTACGACATACTGGCAGATGGTCCCAGATCACTGGACACTACTATCCCCCTTCTAAGCAGATAAGACAAGCTACCAGGGTGATGGTTTTGGGAACTACCTAATTCCTTAAGATGACATTAATAACTCGGGCATTAGAGAGGGGCAGAGCAGTGTCCTCCCTGCACATTTTGACAAGAGCACGCCTGAGCATTCCAGCCTGAAACTTCATGATCTTGTCAGGATGGCCTGGGGCCAGCATGGTGAAGCAGGTCTTACTGTTATAATTCTATAGAGTTAAAGAAGTTTTTCTGAAAGTTAAAGAAGTTCTTTATAAGAAATCTGTTTTATTAAAATCAGTTTGAAACAAAATTTGTTCCTGAGAGTGTCCACTATGAGAACAGACTGTATTAAGCCTTGTAGTATTAACAAAGGACCAAGATGTAGATTCTTGCCTAGCTTAGGACACTGCTTGTCTAGGAGTGTGCATCTTTGAAAGGAAACTGTTCTGAGGAGCAAAGTTGGGCACAGTCTCCCAAGAGATAAACTTTTCCTCTGCCTGGATAGGAAACAAGAGAGGAACTACAAAGAATTCTTAGTGAGAAATAAATCTGTGTCCATTTACTTCATGAACTCTTCCCAGTGGAAATCACATTACCATCTTTTAGGTTCAACAATCCAAGCCTCAGTCTTTCCACATAACTGCTACATGCCAACTGTACAAGTAATAACGAACACCATCCTGTATTGGACACGCTAAAGCCAGGCTTATTTTATTCTTAAAATAAAAACAGCAGTAAAGTTGAAGGTTTTTGCTCTATTAAAAGACTCAGAAAATAAACATTTCCAGCAAATATCATATGGAAAGGGCTCTCCCTTTAAGGCCACTCTATCTGGGTTTGCGCCTGGTAGAGCGTCTGCACCCAGCAGAGGCAAGACTGGCTGTCTCACCTTTGGCCAGGGAGGAAAACTCTGCCGCTGCCTCCTGGCCTGTGTTTGCTGCCTCATTCTGTGCTAATCCCCCTCCACTCCCTGGATCCTGGCAGTCGTCTGTGCCTTCCCTTTGCCTGGCCGCATCGGCTTCCTCCTCCTCACACACGGCGTGTCCCAGCAACTCCCCTATGGTGCGGCTCTCTTCAGGGAGCGGGCACCCGGCACCAGTGGTAGTGGACTTGCTCTCCTCCTGTAGGTTTTCTTCTTCTACAACCACGATTCCACACACATCATCAGTCACGCTGGCTAGGCTTTTGCCCTCTGCTACAGAGGTGGCCAGCTCACCCTTACCCTCCAAAGACCTTGAAGCTTCTTGTTGCGGGGCTGAGAGCTCTGTACCCTCCTTGTCTATCCCATAATCATCATTCACCTTCTTGCTGGTCTCTGCTGTTGTAGCAGGAGGCTGTTTCGGATCATCCAGCAATTGGGAGCTGGAGCCCTGGGAATGCAAAGGAGCCTCGGGGTAGGCAGCTGTGGCACGATGCCTCGCTGCCTTGTATCTCTGCAAATACAAACAAAGCAATGTGAGAGACAAGCCCAGCTCAGTTCCCGTCACTGCACCAAGTGGCAGCTGGTCCAGGAAAACCTGTACAAAAACAGTGGTGAGTGGCAGCTAGAATCTGCAGGGGCACGACTTGTCTCGGCAGCTCTCCTGGCCTGGCTGCTGAGACTTTCAAGCAGAGAAGGGTCAGCTCCTGTGAGGAAAAGTGGCGACATTAAAAACTGAAGTCCCTCTTGCATTACTTAATGCTGAGCGAGTGCATGGCAGACCTGAGGCTCCTGAGACAAAAATCATGTTCTGGCAACTGTTAATCTCAGTCAGACTCATGACTCTGTAGATGTAACAGTGCAAGTGACAGCTCTTGCTTCAGCTACTGCCAGGACATAACTCTGGACATGTACCCTGGATATAGGAGGCTATGCACTGCCCTTGGCTACAGAGGTGTGATTTAATGTTTATCAGCCAAAACAAGACTTAAATTGAGAGGTTAAGATTTTTTCACTCGATACAATCTGTGCAGTCAGTGAAACTGTTGACAGGAACACTAGCATATCAAGAATATCTTATTACAAGGTATGGAGGTTCTCTACAGAATAAAAGTAAGCATACCATCAATAAAATGACTCATTTGCACTCTCATGATGTGTGAAGAGATTAAAATGGCTACTAGCCATTTTCAACACTGGATTTCAGAAAAACAACTCCGTATAGCTAGCTAACATGCAGTAGGAATCTGGTCTTCAAGGTACAGGCAGAGCATGAGCTAAAGAAATAAAACAAAGCTCCCTCTTTTACACAGCTGTTCCCTCCACAATCAACTCGCTTTCAGCTTTCTGCTAAAGGGTCCCTTGAACTGGCACTAGCATTAGACCTGACAATTTAAGACTATGTTGAGTGCACTGGCTTTCACCACTGCTTTAAGCAGTGCTACTGTGGAATTTCAGCATATCAGCTGGGCAGCTTTACATTGTAATTCAGTTTATCACTGCAAGCTTGTTCTTTATCTGTCCTCAAATAGTGGGATATGCACAATATCATAATTCACTGGAACTAGATCAGTAAAGTCATAATGTTGTACCCAAACTAAACCAGGTTCAAGTATGCCAGTTTGTTTTCAGAGTGATGCTGTGAACTACCTCACCAGCAGACAATTCTCTGCTTTGAAACCCTCTGCTGAGCTACTCTGATAAGAGTACCCCAGAAACTGGCAGTGATTTAACTCAGACTGTGACAACCCCAAGGCACCTAGGCAGCCAAAAATAATAGTTATCTGCCTGCAGATATTTAAGGTTGGACTCTTGTCATAAATAATCCCCCCTGGTCACTCTGGCATCCATTTGAAGAGCATCTGATTTCAGCTCTAAGTGGGCCAAAAGGGAGGCATACACACTGCTGCTGCAGTTTCACTCTAAGCTCATCTAAAATAAGCCAGGAAAACTGCAAGGCCGATTCCTTCATTCCTGAAATGACTAGCTGCAGGAGTGGGAGAGGATGAGCAACCATGAAGGAACAGCTGTGGTCTTCTGCTACTTGCCATTCCAAATCCAGTGCTCTAAGTGCTGGCTCCTGCAGCACCCCACCCCTTGCTGGAGGCAGTGACAGTTGACTAGGAATAGTTAACCTGTCTGAAGACTAGAAGAAAAACAAACACAAAGGGGTTTTTTTTTGGGAGGGGGGTGGGGTGGGGTGTTTGAGTTTCTTTTTTTTTTAAACACTATCAAAGTGTTTAGGGAAGCACCAGCAGCTTTTGTTGGAGCAGGTTTTGGGTGCAGGCAGAGGACAAAGTCGGTGTGGGAGCCTCTCCTTGCCAGGGTCAGGGAACACCGCTCTCCTGCACAGGCAGGGCCCAGGTCACGGGAGAGGGCAGAGACAGTGCAGGCCCTGCGTACCCACCACAAGGTACTAATCCAGGCCCCTCACCCCCTGGCAAGTCAACAAGGACAGAACGATGGAGGCAGATTCCAGGCCAGCCCAGTAGGAAAAGCTTCTAGATACGAAAGCAGCAAGGGGCAATACGGCTTCTTTAGGTGGAGCCAGTAAAGCAAAGGAGCAGCATCAGCTGGCACAGCTTTGTGCTAAGGAGTTTCTGGGAAAGGGGAGCAGACAGACAGACAGACTGACTTCCTGTTGCAGGCTGACCCTGGGGACCAAATGGATTCTAACCAGCTTGTAGTTATGTCAAATTTCCAGATTTCTAAGGCGAGTAGCTGATTTTACCAGTCTCCTTCATGGATGAATCACACCCACAATTTTGGCTAAAGGAGCTGTTCCTCTAGTATAGCATGAAAAGATGCGTAAGTACCAGCTTTCTTTAAAAGGAACAGTCTCTGTCTCTTGTTCTTCCCCCATCTCGGCCCACCTGTAATCTGTCTACAGAGAAGAGGCCTAGACTGAACAACAGACTCCACAGGTTCAGCAAACAGAGCTCTGAGGAAGATTTCCAGCCAGAAATGGGCAACAAGGTGACAGCAGCAGTAGCTGGGAAGCAGGACCAGACTGGTTTCAGATCTACAGGGGTGATGGAAGACAAAACACAGAGCACACCAGGAGAAAGCTATGGCACAATGGACACGCAGGATGACAGAAATGGACTGAAGACAAGACAGCTAACATGGTGGACACACTGAAGAGACACACACAGGGGTAACAAATGCCAGGCCATGCAATCGCCAAAGGGTCTAACCTGAAAGTTCTCAAAATGCATCAGGGACTTGCAGTGTGCGAGCCGGGCAGCAGAGTCGCTATGGTAGAATTTGTGACACAGCCTGCAGAGGTAACCTGCGACGGGGACCAGAAAATCCAGGCCTGCGAAACGGGAGGGGAAGGGAAATCACAGATCACATTGAATGGAACTCAAATAATGAAAGCATGTTAAAAGGGAAGGGAAGGGGAGGAAGAAAAAGGAAAGTGGAAAGCTTTGCTTCTGTTAATCGGGGATTTGCAAGATGACTTGCTGAATATCTCATCTTACCATGGAATGGCTGTGTGGTTGATATTCAGAGAGAAATCTGGCTGCCAGAGCAAAGAAACTACACAGAGCATTAAGGGGGGGAAAAGGGAAAAAAAGAATACAATGGAAAACTACAGAGAACATGTGATCTAATGTAATGGGATCAAACCAAGCAGAAGACAGCAGGCGCGCAAGAGGAACACGCAGAGAACATTCACAGCATGAATCATTATTCCATCTGCCACACGATAGTGGAAGGTTACAGGCGATATGGAAGATTGGTGTAAACAGAGCTCTCCTTGGGCACAAAACAGCCTCTGCAGAGCTGCCCTCCTCACAACACGAGTGGCCATTAGAGGTTTGAAGTCAGAATCGCTTACAGGGTGGGGACCAGAGACAGCCATCTGGAGGCAACACTGCCCACCAGCCCAGCAACATGTCTGGATAACTGCTAGGTAGAGCGTGGGGGCTCTGAAGCGGAGGACACATGCACAGTTTGGGCTCTGGCAGAGAGTTCGATACTGTCAGTACTGCTCAGTATCTCTACACAAGCTGCATTCTGTTGGAAAGCATTCTAATCAACATGCTTTCAGGATCCATCTTTCCGGAGCATCCCTCATTTGCTACCTACTTTCTTCAGTACTCCTGCTCTACTTGTCCCACTTCCTACCTTAGTAAGGTATCTGGCTCTCATCCTTTCTTCTTCAAAGCAAAAGGCAGCTGACAAACATCAATCACAACCTTATGTTTTATCACACAGTAATAAAGCAACATTTAGGCTCATTCTCCAGGCAGCAGTGACCTGCCCCAGTCCAATGCAGATGCTGGAGCACCCATGGCCCAAGAAGTCATTCCAGCAGTAGGTAGAGACCATCCTCTCTTACAGATACAGCATGTGACCAGAGAAGGCTCTGTGGGCCTTTGTGGTTAACTCTGCTTGCTTACCATAGGCTGTGTCTGGACAATACTTCTCACTTCCTTCATAATCCTCCAAAGACACTTCCTTCAGCCCAGTCTGGAAACCAAAAGAACATTAGTGCCTACTGTATCTATGCCAATTTCCTTCCTGGGCTCTTACATTTTTCTGGTAAGCTTGGGAGCAAATCAGAGGATTCACATACCAGAGACAGAGTTGCACAGTACCTGGTTAGGGCCAGATACAAAACCCAGTGTCAGCAGGCCACTTCATTACAAGGGTTAAAAAAACCCCCTTGAACTCCAAGCCTGAAGTAGCTTAGCTATGTACCTCCTCCCTGGTAACCGCTCTCTACTGGGAAAATATTTATCAAGATAAACCTTCACGCATGTGTTTTCTCTGAGATCAAGCTACTGCTGGGTTATTCAAAGAAATTATGTCAATGTCTTTGTCAGAAATTCTTTCCCTTGAAAAAACATTGCTTGTGGTCCTCAACAAGGTAATATTTGAAGACAACAGTAGGAGCTGTGCGGCACAGCAGAAACACCCTCTGGCATTCCGTGCATAGTGCCCGATTCTCTTTTGCATCATCCAATGCTCTTGAAGAACCCCAGAGCCCTCACCCTCCCACTGTAGGATTCAAGGTTGACTGGACCCTGACTGGACCCTGAGCTCAAACCAGCAAAGACCGACTAAGTCACAGGATCCTACAGCAGAGAGGCCATTCCTTCTCCTTTTGCATGGCATACCTGCTTGGCAGCAGAATCCTCATTCTCTACCAGCACTACATCCAGATCTTCTTCCTCACCAGCTCCCCCTTCCTCCTCCTCCTCTTCATCATCATCATCTTCAAAACAGCCAACAGCATCCACTGTGATCAACTCCTCTGAATCTTCTGGGCTGCCCAACTCCTTCTCTCCTAGCCTCACCTGTCAAGTACAGAAAAAAAACCAAACAGATGAACTTTGCACTCACATTTAACCAAGGAAGACCCCAGACTCTGAACAGAATGCATTTGATGAGAAGGTACTGCAAGAGAAGCACAAAGCTATCACATCTAACTTCTTGCCCCTTTTTCACTCAATTTCTTTAAGCTCTAACAACTGAAGTGCAGCAAAAGATGAAAAAGCAGGATTGGAAGAACCACACATCTTCATTTCATCCCTGCAATAGTCAGGGAAGCAGAAAGTTAATCTGCTCCACAGTGTAGTTGCCTCCAGTCCTGCACAGCTCGCCACTCAGGCAGTATTACCTCTTTAGCTTTCTGTTTGTGCTCAGGGGACTTCATATGCTCCACAAACTTGCGAGGGGTCTTGAAGTGGCGGCTGCAGACAGTACAGAAAGGACGAAGCGAGCGTTTGGCCAGCTAAGGAAAGAGGGACAATTAGGTCACAAGAGACACCCTTTGGAGGAATGCAGATAAATCTTGAGAGAAACAAAGTCACAGCCCTGCCTCTAAAACAGGGACACCAAAGAGAGAGTCTTCTTTTCAGCAGAAAGGACTCCCTAGCTCTTATCTGCCAAAAAGATGGAATACACGCAAAGCAAATGTGGCTTATTAAAGGTGTGCTGGCACTTCTCCCCTGGGAGCCAGTAAATATGATGGCCTGCCTAAATTTTAGCTTTAAAATTTATAAGCTGCCCACCAATTCCTCCATCCAATTAATTAATTGACCGTGATAGGCCATATTTATTGAGAAAAGTCAAGGATTATAAACTAGAGGTGCTTCAGGCCACACTGACACAGCACAACAGCACAATAACTGGAAGCTCCACAAATGCCAGTGTTCAGAGGTAGCACGGCAGCGCCCTTAGCAAGGATGTTACTGGCAGAACTTCATGTGCATCTCTCCACTCCAATCACTTTGCTGCCTGGGGAGCAGGACATGCTACACACTTCCACTCAATCCCCACGAAAGGTCAGTGCAAAGACGAAATCATGCTATGGCTGTTACCTTGTGTTCTTGGGTCCTGCGATGTTTGATTAGATCCCCCATGAAGTGTATCTGACAAGTGTTACACCATCGCTGCTGGGACTCTCTGAAGTGACAACGGATATATCTGTAAGTCACACCTTTTTACATTCTCCGTGGAATACTGCAGTTCACAATCTGTTCTCAGCATTGTTTTCCCCAATATTGCTATCCTTATAGGCTCAGATTTATCTTCGCCCCTTGGCAGCCATTTATATAGGTTGCTTTAGCTCACACTGACAAAAAGGCACCAGTTAAAGCAAATCTCCAACCTGATCTACTGTATTAAAAACTACACAGCAGATCAAAGTCAATGCTGGTATCCTTCAGCAGGAAGGGAGTTGCCTGAAGGAGATTAAGGCCCCTGAAACCAGAGGGATTTTGTACCTTACCTAGAACAAAGGAGCACCCTGGTGCAGTAAGGAGTTGTAGAACCCATGTAGGTCCACATTTAGATTGAGTTTTCTAGCACAGACCAACACTTACCCATCTTTCTCTGCCAGCACCTTCTGCTCCTTCACCATGGGCAGCAGTGAAACAAAACAAACATTGCTCATGTGCTGAATCTCCCCAAGTCGCTGCTGGTGCTGAATTCCAGCCATGTGGGATTGGAAATTCTGAGAGAGAGGTTAGGAGAAAAATCCATTTAAATGTATTCAAAATACAGAAAATAATAGGCATGAGCTATGCTTTCCATTCTCTTGACTGCTGTTTAACAATGAAATGGTATGAAAGCTTAAGAGCATGGCTGCCTGTGGATCCACCCACATTCGCTCGCTAGCAGGTTGACTGCCAGCTCTTCAGGAGAGATTTATTTTATCTGCATGCCTGTCATCATTTTTTACGTTCCTTGTTCCTGAAGCACAAGCCCTTACTAACAAGTCTCCTACTGCACTTCCCCATGGCGGCCAGCTATCTAATTCACTTCTCTTGACCACCCATATCCCGGTCAGGCCTGTGGTTTTTTACCTGCTGACTGCAGCAGTTGGTCTTGCAGATGTAACAGTAGAATTTAAGGACTGATTCAGGGTTGGGATCAGCTGTGCCCACCTCGCAGGTCCAGTGCCCCGGTTTTAGAGCTGTTGTACTGATAGCTCTGCTCTCACTGCTCTGCTGAATAGTCACTTTCAGTGAACCTCCAGAGCTCAACACCTGCCAAAAGAAAGAGTCAAGTCTGATCTCTCAGTAAAAGACACTGAAAATTACACCTGCTTTTTGTATCCAACTTAAGCTCTCTATCCCTTAAGAAAATCCATTTAAGCTTGCATCCACAGGAGGCTGATCAGAGGTTCTCATACACATTCCTTCTCCCAATACTGCCAAATCAGCAATCCTTGTGTCATAGTACCAAGCCTATTAGTACAGAGCTTGTTCCTACAGCCTCTGTAGACACTGTATGATTCAGGCTCTGGAGACTGGAGCAACAAATAATGTGTTGGTAAAGGACATGGTCAGCTCACATTTCTCCACTGGAGAACTAAAGGCAAATCAGCACCACACCTGAGTAAGGAACCCCAACAAGGGCAAGATGCTGCATTCAATCACATCAACAAATGTCTCCAATTATGGAAGACTATCAAGTCTGATTCACACGATGTAAATCTTTGTCTGCTTACAGATTTACACAGCGTAAAGTCCTGGTTTAACATCTACCCTGTGGGCAAGGTATTTCATGCAAAAGACTCTCAGGTTGCTGGCTTCACCTGTGTCTCATTTTTCCAGGCTGCTTTTCAAAAGCACAGACTCCCACTACCTGCACATACCTGCTGTGATTGCAAGTGCCACAGCAGCTGCATCCTTATTACCATCACCTGAAATTTTTTACACCTGCTCTTCAGCAACATAAGGGATGCATTTAGCTATGGCCCTCATACACATATTTTCCAGTGGCTCTTTCAAGTTTCCATCTTTCCAGATGAATGCTGAAATCTTAACGAACCCCAGCATCCACAAACAGCCAGCAGTAGGTAAGGTGTAGGCTAGCAGAGGTACAAAAGCAGCAAGTCAGAGCAGACTGCGCACTAATTGCAGACATATTATGCCTTATTGCCAGGGACAACAGGTTCCAGCAGGAGACAGAGCTCCAGACGTGGGTGCCATCTGGTTCCCAGTGGCAACAGCCTTCTCTGGGATGGAGGGGGAGGTTGTACGTTCTGCACCACCCCAGCCTGTATGGAGTGGTGTCTACTCACCTCAGGAGCCTTTGGTTCCTCAGAGAATTTCCTCTCTTTAGAGAGATCTTCAGTTGTGTACTCCTTTGCATTGTCTGTACCTAGGAAGAGTGAGTCCTTTTAGCTGCCTTAAATCAAAAGAGCAATGACAGAAAAAAACAAAGCAGCAGGTGAATGAATTTCCTCACAGTGCTGTTGGCCAGAAGCCCAGTTCACAAACCTTTCTCCCAAGAAATCCTTATTCAAGAGGGAAACTTCCCATCATTTGCATTTGGTAGGCAGCAGTTTTTAGGGGACTATGTTTGGATTTGGTTCCTAGATTTTCTTCTCTTTTCCCCATCCCGTATGACCAGAGGAAGGACATTTCTGACAAGACCCATGGGATCTACAGATGCTGATCTACAGGTGCACTTCCAGCAAAGAGTGCCCTTAAAGTGTAAATCATGGTGCCCAGCAACTCACCATCAGCTCGGACATGGGTGCTTGATTCTCCTGCTTCCTTGCTGTCCATTGCATCCTCTAATGCAGACTCCTCAGTCACACTTCAAGGATATCAAGAAAATAACATTATTTGCCATGTTACAGACAAAGAGATTCAGAAGACAAACCAAAGCACAGGTGGGGGCCTAAGCTACCCCAACTAAGCACTGTCCACTAAACCACCAAATCAATAATCTACTAGAAGTGGCATTTCAGGCAAGGATTCAGCAGAAATAAATAAGAATGAAGAGCAGGCACTCTAGAACAGATTCAGAAACAGCAACCAAATGATCTGGACAAGAAGGTTACAACTGATTTTTCTGGATCACTGCCCTCTCCTGCAAGAGGTCTGCAGGGAAATAAGTTCATACAGGAAATATTCTTAATAGGAGTTCTGAGAGCTCACTCCAGTCTTGATTGGTGACCTGCAGGGAAACTGCAATACCCGGACAGTACTCCAGGCTGCATGAGGGAACAGACACCTGTCAGAACTGAAAGGGTCCTCAATGGTGTCTTACAGGGACTTCATCAAAACTGCCCGCTCTATTCATATCGGCCATATTTTGTCCAGAGTCCCTACAGTTCTGCTTGTGGAGGAAGTGGAACCGTACAAGATGCAATTCAAAAGGACTTTGTTTTATTTGGTACTTGTGATCTGCTGAGGAGAAAAAAAGATCACAGAGGGACTGCTGCAAATAAACAGTTGACTTCCAGAGGGCATAAAGTGTACTTTACAATATCTTTCTCATCTCCCCTTTTGCCATCAGGGCTAACACTTTTCACCATGGCTTGAATGCCTTCTCTCTCAGGCCCGCTCGATATCCCACCTGCTGGTGTCCTTCTGCCAAGAGGGAACAGGGAGCAGCAAGTTCTACACAAGCAAGAACACAGACTATGCAGGTATTGCATCCAGGGATCCAAACACACACGCACCGCATGATTTATCAGACTGATAAGTGATAATGTAACTGGGTTACATGGCTATAAATATGCAGTAGGGTTTGGGCAGTGCAAACATGAAGAAAACAAGAGTGGCTGGCATTAACATTATTTGTCAAGTACTGCCAGCAGGCTCAACACTATACCACACACAGATGGTGACAGCACTCCAGGGCAAGGGTCCGCAGTCTAAACTGTAAATCTAAGGAGCAATCTAGTGGAGCAAAACCCATCACGACCAGGATCTAAGGGGGAAATGGTATTATAATGGATACTTGTCAGGCCATGCTAGAAGAAGTGGGTGTTCAAGGAAGATTTGAAGATGATGAGTGCTTTCTGCACTGGAATGAGGATGTTGTTCCAGGCATACAGATGGTACATAGGAGAAAAGGCAGAAGTGGGAAAAACCTGAAATGAAGGAGGAGGCTGGTATTCCTGGCCAAAGGGAAATGGAACAACGAAGCACGAAACAAAAGTTTGTGACATGGATGGGGGGAATACCCTTCTCATCTGTGAAGGGCAATAGGAGTAAACTCTTTTTTTAGAAATCCATCAACTGTTCATTGGAAGTAAACAGAAACACTTTAAAAAAAAATAAAAAATCTAAGGAATGATCTATTCTAAGTAAACACCAGCCATAATATATGCATCAAATCTGGCAGTCCCTAACTACCGTTTAGGAAAGGATTTTCCTAATAGCAGGCTTGTTGCAGTGAGATCTGTCATTCCTCAAACTTGATTCTTTTTTCAGTGTATGTAACAGGACTTTGATTAATACCCTACTAAATATTAATGTAATTAAAATTAAATTAGTTTTGGCAAACAGATTAACAAAGCATAGGCTCAAATGCATTCGACTTAGCTTTAATTGAATTTATTCACTTCCTTGCTAATCAGAGTCCGTAATTCACGATGGTCCCTGCTCACATAATATTTATCACTCTTTAATGTTTTACATGATCAAGGTAATATCTGAACATCAAAGTAATCATGGAATATTCTCCCTAAAGCTAGCCATTAATCTCTAATCCACAGATGGGAAACAGAGAGGTGAAGAAACTTGTCCGAAACCACATGGTGAATTGTTAACAGGGAAGATAAGAGGACCCAGGAGTCCTGACTCATAGTCATTAACATATGTTGGAGAATTCTCAAATCCATGCCTCCAGAAATCCGGATTCACTCCCTCTACACCAGCTCACAGCGACAGTCCTGGGAGAGGTGCAGCGCGGCGCAGATGGCACCAGGAGCTCCGTGACGTGCCTTCCCACTAGATGGCAATGCAGCCCGGTCTCTGCCTTCCTGCACCCCACCAGGAGGCAGGGAGGGCCACCATGGGCCCGCCGTGGCCAGCAAGCTGGCCAGCGTGCTGGCCATCCCTTGCGGATCATGGGGTTGCCTTTGATTGTTTTTACCCAGCAGACAGGGGTACTGGCAAGACGATCCTTGCAGAGGGAATACAGAACTCACCGCTCATGGATGCGGGCTTGGATACTAGGGAGTATAGATTCCCTTCCCTTTCTCATACTTCAAAATAAATTGCCCTCTCCTACACCTACAGTAACCTAATATATTCCAAGGCTTTTCCTCTCTGCTGATACATGGCTGCTCATTTCCCTTTTTGACATTTAGGGAAGAAAATTAGAGAAATATATCAGAATAGAAAAGAACCTTTCTGCTTCTTACAAGAATCCTGGCAGGCACATTTACATGAGCTGCATCTCTTATAGTTGGATCATCCATAGCAAACCCTACAACACCCTGTATCTCAGCAAGCATCATGACATTTTCTGATTGTCCACGAGCATCTGAAATACCTCCTACATGTTAGACATCAGGCCAGTACAGTACAGCCCTAATTATTAAAATATAAAATTAGATAACAATTCTAAACTCAGTAACTATTTCAACACCCCATTCAATAAATACCTCTTCAGTCTTTTTGCTGCAGGCTCAGTGTTCAACGCAGATTCTATTGGAGTTCTTGGCTCTGCAGGAACACAGAAGATCTCCTTAACAAAGCAGACCATGCCACCCTGAGCAATGTTCCCTAACTGAATGGCCAATGCCAATAAAGCTCTGTTAGAGCAAATAATACTATACACTTGCTTATTCTGAATTTGAGAATTGTAGTGACAAGGTTAGATAATGACCTAAGAGATTTGAGTTTTATTGCAGATGTCACTGTATGAGGTGTTGTCCAGAAAGAAATCTGTTTATGTCTGCTAAGTGGGTCTCAGTCCCGTACCTAGGTGACAAGAGCCCAGATCACAGGAACATTAATGTAAGTCAAGGTGACATATCTACCTGACAGAAACCATTTAATCAGGTAATTCTTGCCACTGCATATACACCAGTCACAACCTCATCATATCCCTGCATTTTTAGATCAGACAGTCTTCGGTCAGAAATAACATTCCCACATCTGTATTGTATCTGACACTGTAAGAGATTCAGTCCCAGCAGCTTCTGCGCTGGCAGCTGGAGTACAAGTACTCTTTCAACTCATCTTTTCCTTAGCATGTTGATAGCAACTGGTTCTGCTTTATGTATTTCACTCCATGAGATGTTAAGGCAATGTGGAGGCTTTAATTTCAAAACAGTTTTGGGGTTTTTTTCCCCCCATCTTAAATGGGGCTCACTGTCAAAGTGACTTCTGAGAGGCTACAATGGAGAGATATGGAGCTAGCTTATAAAAACAAAAAATATACAGGTAAAAAGGATATATGAAGCACCTAGCAGAGGGCCATCACAGGCAGTTTAAGTATTTACAGTTAGAGAGAAATGTAGCTGATTAAGACCGAAGTCATCTCCAGTCTTTGCTGTGGGAACAGCCATGAGAATTTTGTAACATCTAGAAGCATTTGTTTCACTACAGGCTCCCCCTTACCTGTGGATGGTGAGGAGTTGTTCTGCTCTGACCCTGCCTGCACTCCCTCTGGGATTTCCATTTTCTCATCACCTTGTGTCTGAGATGAAGAACCAGGATCTAGTTCCCGCTTCCTGTCAGGGACCCTCTGGAAGTCCTGCAATGGGCAGAGAGTCACTGCCAGCTCTTGGTCCTTCCTCAAACTTAACACACTGCCCAAAGCACCAAAGTTTTACTGTGAGGCAGTAACAGGAATTCCAGCACAGGGTAATGGAAGGGAATATATGATTTACAATGGACTGCCTGGCTTCAGGCAAGTTTACATGGTTAAACAGAGCAAGGTACTCGACCCATGACACTTCTCCAGTGCTTTAAGTAGCAGCTGTAGGAGACCCAGCTGCTTGCAGAGAGTAGGGTCACTTCAGAGGGACTCTAGCAAGAGGTGCATGGGCAGGGAAAAAGAATAGTCCAAAATAATCCCCTTTCCTTTTGACTCTGGAGAAAGGACTGTCCAAGAGTGGAAGTCTACCTTATCCACCACATCTCTTGAACAGAATGGGGCCAAATATACAAAAGCTAACCTAAGAGGAGGGAAGTACCAGTCAAATAATCCAAGAACCATTTTCAGTATACAAAAGAGGTCTTAACGGTGATGAGTGAGAAAGGTTTTTACCAAAAAAATAATAATTTTACAAAATCCACAGGAACAAATATGATCCTGATCTTAAAAAAAAGGAAAAACAACTAAAAGAGGCAGTGACATGTCCATGGTATAAGCAAGTTGTTCGGGAAAAACTGCTTTGAAAAGCTAATGGGGCAGAACTCTGGCCTCTGAAGAGCAAAGCACTCAGCCAGGATTTCTTCTATTTTAATTACTTTGAAGCTGATACTTCTAAAGGCTCGTTTTATATATTGGGTTTAAACAGTTCTGCTATGAAGAATTCTCTCTCTTGAGCAAGAAGTGACAAGAAACCTTTGCATCATAAATGTAAATATGGACCACAAGAACATTAGGGATGGACTTATTTCTGCATTTCTGTGTCAGTAGCATGGTGCAAAACGTAGTTTTCATTGTGAGGTTCTCTCCCTTCTCTTTTGTTCTCCACCTACAATACCATCAACTGCTGCAAGTGCTAAAGGAGCACAAAGCTCCCGACCAGTTGGAGACTACAAGCCCACCTTGCGAAAGGTCCGGTTCTGCCGCTGGAAGGGAAGGCTGGGGAAGCCCAGCCGAGTTGGCTTTAAGGAGACCCCGACAGGTGGTGGCCCCAGGAGGGAATGTCTTGTAGCCTGAGGGAAAAACTGCTGCAGTGCTGGCGCTGTCATGTTAAATCCACGCAGGTTTCCTATAAATGCAAACACACAGCATCACCACCCTGCGGCGTGCCAAGGAGAGAGAAAATCTTCCACCTGTACAAGAAGCAGGTAGAGAGGGGAAGGGCTCCTCCCTGCAAAACCCTGTACTTTAGTGGGCACTGTATGGGTGCTCTATGCTCTACGCTCTTCAGCCCTCATCGAACAATTTGATGTGATAGCAACTATTACTATGTATCAGGCTATTTAATTATAATTGTCACTTCAGGCTAAGATCATTAGAGCAATTATTTGATCTGAGCACACTAGCGCTTGTGTTTGCAACAAACAACGTCTCGTTTTACAAAAATCCTCTGTAAAAAAGGAAAATTCATCCCACATTTGTGCAGCTGGCAGCTCACGCCATAGTATGGATGCTATTTAACACAAGACAGTAACAGCATTTCATTTAAACAACACTGGACTTTTCAAACAAAAGATTCCACAGTCTTCTCTGCCACCTGGTTGTCATGCAAGCTCAACATGTCAACCTAAAATCCGACACTTGAGACTCTGCCATTTCCAATTATAATGCTCTGCTTTCTGAACAGTTCTTTTCAGCATCCACAGACTATTAACTAAGTCTCAACATTTTCTTACGAAGGCAGTCATTGCTATCCCCATTTCAGGGGTGAGGGAATGGAAGCACAGATGCCTCAGCTATACCCTCAGAAGCTGTCCAACATTCTGAGAACCTGGACTTATACCACAGTTCTTCATTTCTCACTTATTAGTGCATACTCTGGCTTTTTGGCAGCTGTCAAAACAAGGCAGAGAAATTTGGAGATGGGCACCCAAAATCTGAAAAAACAAGCTACACTGTTTAAAGCCTGCAACACAATAGGAAGTACTCTCCCATGTTTGTCTTCAAAAGTAATCTAATCTCTTATTACTTACCATAAATAATCTCTTACTGTAAAAAAAACCATAGCTGTATTAAAAAAGTCTATAAAGCAAGAAATCATCTCCTGCTCTCGGTTTAGTACCTTTAGAAAAACGCACATCCATTGCAACTTGAATCATCTCCTGCTCTCGGTTTAGTACCTTTAGAAAAACGCACATCCATTGCAACTTGAAGTATTTTTTTTTCCTATTCCCACTGCTGAAGCCACATACAGTCAATGAATTATTTATGCTGATGTTTCCCAGGTACAGAAATACTACAGCATCAGATATTCTTACATGTAACCCAAACCTGAATGACAAAATATTTCAGATTCCTAAGAAGGGCCATGCTGGACACTGCAACCCTATTACATGTTACCGGTGGGCAGCTGATGTAGATTATTTAAAGAGAAGTCACAACTCAACTCAGCATGTAGAAGTGAAAAGAAGAGGAACAACACTAAGACAAAGTGCATATAACAGCGTTCATTAACAGACCTTATCCTGCTCTCATATTTAATTTGCCTCCGGTCCTTGGCATACTATTTAAATATAACTCCTCAATAAAATGTTTTGCTTTAGGGAAAAGGTCAGCCCATGCTAACATCAAACACATCTGAAAAGAGTATGGCTGACTAAAGTGGAGTCAGACTTTTTTCCTGACACAAATATATACACCTATCTTCAGAGCATGGCTTGTCTTTTTTCACTGCCAGTTTCCCTACAACCTGAGAGAGATCTGTAGAGAGCCACTGGAGTCACTAGAGAGCCCTCTCGTTAAATGGGCAAGAGAGAACAAAAGGAGAGTTAACAACATGCAGAATAAATCTATTGTCTTCACATCTGGGCATGATTCACAGGCAAGATAAAAACTGCAGGCATTAATCTAAACTAGGCACTTTAAAACTATCCCAGGTACTGATTTTCTGTGTTGAAAAGAGCTGTCAGGTTAAGACATGAGCAAAAATAAAGACATAGCTTTATTCCTAGTACGTTATGTTAGCAATGCTATTATTAAGGCAGCTTCATAAATTTGTTTTTTAAAAACCACATCTGGCAAAAAATCCACTTGTGAAAACATGGTGATGGAAGAACAGTGATATTATCCACCACACAAATTACAGTCATTTCAGGGAATTGAAATTTCACAAGACAATTGAAACCAGAACCATTTTCCATCACAATATACTTCGTACTGCACTAAGTTTGGACAAAGACAAGCAGCTCCTGCAAACAGGGTTAGCATGTATGTAACAGAGAACAAAAATTGTTTTAACCTTCCAACCAAGAAAGACAAACAAATCTAAGTATTTTATCTAAATATATGGATGGAAAAATATCTCTCCACCAAGTCTAAGAGGGAAGACACATATTTAGTATCTAACCTGATACCTTCTAGTGCTATTCCCAGTTGTGAATAATTTGGCACATGGGATTTTCAACAACTGAAGAACCTCTGTGATGCAGACTATGGACAAATTTGAAGAGGAAAAAAAAAAAAAAAAAAAAAAAAAAGGATGACAAACGGAACTGCCAAATACAAGGACTGCAATGGTTCAGCAAGAAATAGCCATACTATGGTTTCAGTCCATGAAGGATGATTAAATAACTCAAATAAGTAAGCGTCTCCCATAACGACAGTACCTTGCATCTGCTGCATGAGTAAGGCCCGCTGAAGCATAGGATTGGCATTGAGCAGCGATGGTTGATTTGTTGCCCGTAAGCTCAGCATCTGTTGCTGTTGCGGTGGTGGCAAACCCCTGGAAAAGAAGGCATTAATCATAAGAACCCAATAAAAACTGTACAATTCCAGACACCTAACAAGTATAAAACGGAGGAGCAGAGAACGGCTGAAATGCTGATATACATGCATGAAAAGATACCATACACCGGCACTGTATCCTCTTTCTTCCACTCTCCTGGAATTTCCAAAGCTGACAGATTGTCTATCAAGGAATTTGAGGTCAGAGAGAACTCCTTAGCACCAAGCCCACATAAAGCCTGTCAAGCAGCATAAAAAAAGCCCAGGAGCTGACTGCAGTTCCACAGAATTATGCAGCACTCGTCAGTAGAAACGAGCGATCTAGATCAGAAGCTACATTTAACACAACAACAAAAGAGAAGTTCTAAAAAACAGGGAGTTTTCTCAGTAGCTTAAAGCGCATTTTTCCAAAATCGATGCCTCCCACACGGAGCCAGACAGGTCATAACTGTAAATGGTGCCCCCTAACTGCAAGAACCAGATGGAAAAATAAAGCACAGCCTTCATATTTAAAACATGAGGAGGAAGAAGCGAGCGGAGAAGGACTCTCCAGTTCTAAGGAGGGTGGAGCAGACATGAGAGAAAAGTCTGAAGAAACTGGCAGGCACTTCTTCAGGAGATTGCAAGGTCAGACCCACCTCTAAGCATGACTGCTGATACAGCTAAATCTGTCAGGGCTGTAAAGAGGTACAAACATGGATCAAAATATCCACGCTGACAAAAAAACCCAACCCTCTTAACGGAATTTTCAGCAGCTCATCTTCACGTTTGCTGCTCTAGATTGTTCCAAGTCTCAGAGCTGAGATATTTATACGGGTAAAATCATACTTTCAAAGGTGTAAGATGCATCCATGCTACCTAGCAGTCACCCCCGTACTGGCATTTTAAGGGCAGCTTTGTTTATAACATAAGGCATATAACAATGGATTTAGAGGTTCATATTTCTGGTAGACTGGAAAGACTCCCTCATTTACCTCTCCGACATATGCCTTGTGAGGATAAACTAATTATTATAATGTATTAAATAACAAATTAACTTTCTTCTTAAATTCACATCCCATTACTTTGAATTTGCAGAGCATGAGGATTTGCAAATAAATAATAACTGCAAATAAATGCATAATTTCAGAGAATTTGCGTTAGTTCTACAAATCTCAGCTCATCGGGCACAACTGCTCCTACCCAAGACAGTTGGTCTTCTCTCTTGCATTTTTTGGGAAAACCCCAGTCATTCGCCTTTTTATTTCTGGCAGATGTCATTTGTCTTTTAACAAACAAAACATGATTTTCTCCATCGCCGCCCCACAGTGCTCAGTCACACCCTCAGCGCTGGTGCCACCGCAGAAATAAGTTAAATAATCACACCCAGGCCAGGAGACCCAGCCAGAGAAAGAAAACAAGTGAAGTTCAGGAATAAAATAAAGTCTGTGTCTCTATGAGGGCGGCTCAGTTAGGTGCGTGTGAGCGTTTTCTGCGGAGAAAGGCGTTTTCCCCCAGGCTCCCTTCCCGCCCCCTGGGCCCGGCGGCCGCCC